TCTCATTCCTGCTGCTGAGAGCTTCCATCCAGTGCCCCTAAGGAGGCATGAGCGCTTACCAAAGCTGGAGAGAGTGGTATGGGGGCAGGCGGCAGGGATTGCAGCAGGAATTCAGAAGGATGAGTGGGCCTGCTCACTCACAACTGCGCAGGCAGCTGGTGGTTGGCAGTAAGCAGGAATTGGAACGCCATCCACACACACTTCCTCTCCCCACAGAGACACGCTGCAGGCAGGACAAGCCCTCTCCTACCACCGCGCCTCCTGCACCTACCACGCCTCATGCGCCTACCACGCCTCATGCGCCTACCACACCTCCAGCACCTCCTGGACCTACCACAGCTCCTGCACCTCCCGCCCCTACCACACCTCCACGTCCCGCACCCACAGCTGGGCCCACAAGCCCCTCGGTGTCCAGGTACAACGTGAGCGGCACCAATGGGACCTGCCTGCTGGCCAGCATGGGGCTGCAGCTGAATCTCACCTACGGGCGGAAAGACAACACGGTAGGAGTGCCACACTGGGCTGGTGCCCAGCTGCCTCAGCCAGGCAGGGCAGAGGCCAGCAAGGGCTGGCACTGGTGTGGGACTGCATCCACTGCCCCAGAGCTTGGGTGGGCAGGGCCGTCCACCCAGGAGCTGCAGTACTGACCTGATGCCTGACAGGAAAAGTGCAGTGACCCTCAGCTGTGGTCCACAGCCAAACTTTCCTGTGCTCTTGTTCAGAAACTGTTTCTCTCCTCATAGTAACACTGCCTTGGGGTGGGAGAAAATTAGGTGAGTGGATGAGTTTTATAGCACATGGCTGTGTGGACCTCTGGGGGTTGTGGGCTGCCATGTCCTAACCGAGCAGAGTGCTGGTCTCAGTGCCATCACTCAGGACTGCTCCCTGTGTGGAAGAAGGTGGGGGTGGACAGCCCCGCAGCCTGGCAGGCTGACTTGTTTGCTTTTCTTTTTAGACTGTGATCCGAGTGTTCAACATCAACCCAAACCAGACCAGAGCTTTTGGGAGCTGTGGTGCCCAGATGGTGGTCCTGAACTTGCACAGCGAGGAGGGGTTCTTCCTGACCTTGCAGTTTGGCATGGTGAGGCTCTATGCTCTATCCGGGCACATTCACTGGCAGCTTCTTCCTGCCACCTTCAGGACTGCGATTCCTGTTCCTTAATGAGCTTGTAGTTGCCATGCGTGTCCAGATAGGAGAGTAACTGGCAGAGAGCAGCCCTTACACTGCCTTCAATGGCGCTGCTCCAGCTTTGCTGCCGCCCTGTGCAGGACTGACCTGAGTCCCCTCAGCAGGCACTGTAGGAGGGCCTGTTATGGGCCAGAAGCTTGGGGTGGCTACAGAGAGTAGCAGGTGAGTGTAGCCAGGCCTAGCTTGGTAGCACAGTGAGTCACTGATACCTGAGCTCTTGGTTTCTTGGGGTCTGATGCTGCTGCCCGCCACCCAATGCCTGCGTCTTATCACCCTCAACTGTGTCCAACGATGAGCCAGCTGTAGTCAGCAACAGAGAGGATTTAACACCAGTGGTACATTTTTTTAACTTATTTTTGTGATGCCAACAAATATGGCCAGGGCCTGACACATGCGAGACAGGTTGACAGAGGTCATCAGACTGTTTAAATACTTGACTTCACTGTGCAGGTGAGCTGACTGCACTGGGACCACATATAGAACTTCCCTATACATTAAGAAAAGGGTTCGTTGTCGTCATGGCACACTGTGTGTGTAGTGATGGGCCTTCTGTTCTGACACTGGACCCTGGGAGTCTGCCTGTGTATGTGGTTGGGTAGAGGTCTCCTGCGTGGCTAGTGACTTTCCCCTGCTTTTTCAGAATGCAAGTGCTAGCCAGTTTTTCCTGCAAGGAGTCGGGTTGAACATTACTCTTCCTGATGCCAAAGGTGAGCCCCCCTCCTCGCCACCCGACCCTTGTTGGCCCTGTGCCAATGGCCGCGGTGCTCACACGTCTTGCCTTGCAGTGCCCATGTTCCAAGCTTCCAACAACACACTGCGAGCCTTGCAGGCCACCGTCGGGAACTCCTACAAGTGCAACGCTGAGGAGCGGCTATACGTCACCCAAGCCTTCTCCCTCAACATCTTCAGTGTGTGGGTGCAGGCATTCAGAGTGGACGGGGACAGATTCGGGTCTGGTGAGTAATGCGAGGGCACCGTGTCCACAGCAGCCAAGTAGCAGAGGGCCACGCCCTCCTATGGGGGCTGGCTGGCCTCTACATGGGCATAAGGGCATGGAGGCTCACTCCTGCCCTGTCTCCCCAGAAGATTCTGGAGAGGACCCCCTGAAGGGCTAGGATGGGGTGCAGGATGTCCTCGGAGGTTGTGCTTAAGGTGTGGAGTGCTCTGAATGGGTCTGGAGCCTGGGTGTGGCATCCACACTGTCTGGAGTGGACTATCCGCTAGTCTGGAGTTCCCAGCCCTGTAGAAAGTGCTCACCTGTGAGCTCCTCCCAGGGACAGTGGCCTGTACCACCATCCCAAACTGCCTGCTCCCTGGGGCTGCATGGCACAGCACCACTTGGTATCTATCTTGCAGTGGAAGAGTGTCTGCTGGACGGGAACAACATGCTGATCCCCATCGCTGTGGGTGGCGCCCTGGCGGGGCTGGTCCTCATCGTCCTCATCGCCTACCTCATTGGCAGGAAGAGGAGTCATGCCGGCTATCAGACCATCTAGCCGGCCGGTAGGCGCTGTGCGGACCTGCAGGGTCTGTGCTCTGGTCCCCGTGCTTAGGTGAATGGGAGGGGATGACACTTTCTGGCAAACTGTTTTCAAATCTGCTTTATCAAATGTGAAGTTCATCTTGCAACATTTACTATGCACAGAGGAGTAACTATTGAAATGATGGTGTTAATTTTGCTAACTGGGTTAAATATTTTGCTAACTGGTTAAATGTTAATATTACCAAAGTAGAACTCTAAAGGAGGACAAGAGTGCTTTTCTGAATTGGCACAGGCTCAACTCTCATTCGACGTTTTAAGATTTGGTGTTTGGTTTCTTCATTCTTTGCTCAGATTTAAGCCTTACAAAGGGAATCTCTGGTCTGAACTCTGGGGACTGATGGAGGGTGGCTGATCACTAAGCCTTCATATTTAAGAACTGAAGACAAAGCAGAAGCGCTCGGCGTGAACATCTGGACGCCCAGATTGCACTGTTAGATGTGGGGGACCATCAGATGTCTCCCACATTCTGCCAGCTGTGAGCTGGTACTTTTTTAGTATAAAAGGGGCGTTTTTTTATTTACTTTTTGTAAAGTGGTTTTCAGTCTTCTGTTGGCATTCAGGACGACCCTGTTTCTGCACTGTGTACAAGAATATTCACTCCGCCAATGTAGCCGTGGTGGCTGGAGGTTGTACACTGAAGATCGGCTCACACCTAACGCATTGCCTGTAACAATGCTAATAAAAAGTCTCCTTTTTCCGTCTGGACCTTGTGTTTGTCAGCCACCCTGTGCATCAGTGGCATGGGCTGTATCCCCTGGGGTCTCTATGCGTGGAGTACAGCCTATGAGGGCTGCCTGCCCTGTGCTACAGTCTGACCAGTGGTATCCCTTGGTGGGTCTCAGCTTACAGCTGTACAGATGTCGTCTCTGCAGGGACACTCTGTGTCACAAGAGCCACAGATCCACTAAAAGGGGTGGAGAAGCTTGGTTCTCACAGCTTCCCTGCGGCTCTACCTGCCCCTCCTTCCTGTCAGTGTGTGTGGTATGGTGTAGCTGAAGCTGGGTGGCCAATCTCTCCGTTCAGACCACCTTTCTTCACTTGCTTATAAAGTATAAAAGCTTGAGAGTCTCCTATCTAACATAGAATTCAGTGAAGAAGCACTGTAGACCAGGGCTGGGTTCCATACCCAGCAATGAGAGAAAAAAAAAAAAATGGAAAGCTCCTTGAGCACACACATTTGCACACGCACACACACCTAGGCCCACCCACCCTTCCGTACCTCAGAAAATGCATCAGACGCCCATGTGCTCGAGGTGCAAGCAGAGGCTGATCTAATGCAGAGCTCTGCACTCCAGATTCACAGCCATGGCAGGTGAAGCCAAGGGCCTCTGCCCAGCACTGCTGGGACCCAGACTTGAAGATCTTCATAGTCATACTTGGTCCAGAGAGCTGTAGTACCTAGGGCTGGCAGAATTGGTGGTGCCGGCAGCCTGAACGCCGTGGATCAGCCTCTTGGGCATCTCCTTCAAGGGAACAGTTCTGCATGCCTGGCCAGCACTTGGGAGCTGGCTGCCCAGCTGTCTAGGCCTGGTGCCCATGGGTACACACCAGAACTTGATAAGAGTGAAGAATGGCCTTTTGAAAGAGCAGGTGTCAAGCACTGAAGAAAGCTGTGTGCTTGAAGGGGCAGCAGCTTCTGGGGCCTGGGCCCTGTGAGGCCATCTGGTATATGACAGGACAGAGACGTTCTCTACAGGCATCTACTTATACCAATCATCATCGCATGTCCTGCAAATGAGGTTCTAACTAATAGCCTTGGCAGGAAGGTGACTGCCCCTGGTGTAGCTAATACCTCAGCCCTTTTGTCCAGTGGCCCTGGGATGGGGGCAGGTCTGAGCTGCAGGGCAGGAAGCCAGCCCCCTGGGAGACACAGTCACCTATGGTCTCTCCAGGAGACATCCTAGACCAGGAGGAGGCCCTGACAAACCAGGTCTGTAAGCAAAAGGTCAATTTTGAGAAATGGAGTCACAAATGATAGTCCTAAGCAAGCAGGCAAGCTCAAGAGTAACATGGGCCAGCTAGCTTCCACCCTGTCTTCCCAGCTTGACTTGTACCTTGCTGGTCTGCCTGTCTACCTAGGGCTGGGCCTGGCCCTGTCCACAGGGCAGGCAGCACAAAGAGCTGGAGATGGCACCACTTTTCATACCAGAGCCTTGACCTTCCTGGCCATGGCTATGTTCAAGGCCCATTCACTCTTACACCCCCTGCTCTTCCCACACACCTTGAAAAAGACCACATGCTGGCCTCCTTGAAGGACTGAATGCAGGCTTACAGTACTGGCATGTTTTATTAAATACAAATGCATGCTGTACATTGTATATATTACTAATGTCTGACAAAATATATTCCAAGAAATTTTTGGTATAGCTAATAATTCAAAAGCTGTTGAATGGCATAATTTTAAATCATTCTTTAAAAATTTAAAAAACTTCCCCACTAAAGTGCGGAGACTTCAGTATTTACAACACCAGGAGAGCAGTAGAAATTGGTCACGGGTTGTCTGGACATGAAGCTGTTGTGTGTTGGGGAGCGTGGGGTATACCTCAGCCCTGGGCCAGCAGTGCTGCCCGGCAGCTCTCCCGGAGTCTGGAGATGGTGGTCATGGACAGGCTCCCCGGTTCTGAAAAGATTTTCTGGAAGAGACAGAGGAGCTTAAGAACTAAAAAGGCGGCAGCAGGATGCTTTACCTTAGCTGTCTCCTCGCAGGAGCATGACAGATGGGCTGCCTGGCCCTGGAGCTCTGGGTGTCCTGAGGGGTCAGGATCCCACGTCAGCCTAGGGCTGTGGCTTTGTGAGAAGATGCAGCCAGTCATCCGTCTCCCTCCTTTAGATTTTTTTTTGGGGGGGGGAGGGCAGTCAGGGCTTGAACTCTGAGCCTGGGTTCTATCTCTTAGCTCCTTTTGGTCAAGGCTAGTGTTCTACCCCAAGAGCCACACTGCCATGACTATTTCCGTGATTAATTGGAGATAAGAGTCTCAAGGGCTTTCCTGCCCAGCCTGGCTTTGAGCCACGATCCTCAGATCTCAGCCTCCAGAGTAGCTAGGATGATAGGCGCGAGCTGCCAGTGCCCAGCTAATTTTCTTAATGTTAGAATAGCACCACAAGTCCACCTGGAGGCTCAGCAGAGCCATCAAGCCAAGATGGAGCAGCCAGCCTTTCCTGCAGAGCCTACTAGGGGCCTGTCTCTGCAGAGACACACACCTGGCCGGGCCTAATACACACTGCACCTTCTCCAGTTTGGGTGATAAGGAAGCCAGGTAAGGGTAAGAGGCAGCAAAAGAGCAAATCCCTCTTATCAGAGCAAGAACTGGGCATAGGGCCACAGAGGGCCAAGTGCTGAGAGCCCTTCCTACCCTGAGTCTGACTCAGGGAGACTGGTTCCCTCTGGAGATGGTGCCTGGAACCAATTATATAAATTCAAATGTCTACAGTGAGAATAGCCTACAATAATCCCTCCAGTTCCAAGGAAGCTGGGGTCCTGGGTTACCACAACCACTTTTTGTTGTACTAAGATTTGAACTCGGGCCTGGTGCTTTCTCAGCTTGCTTGCTCCACTGGTGGTCTACCACTTGGGCCATGCCTCTAGCATGCCTCTGGCATTTTTGCTAGTGATTTTGGAGTGGGAGTTTAAGGGACTTTCTGCACAGACTGGCCTCATATCTCAGTCCTTTGGATCTCAGCTACTGAGTAGCTGGTAGCATGAGCTACTAACAGGTCTTGGACACCAGTGTCATAATCCTACACTGTACTGAGGCTGGACTTGGCCTTCTCACTTCCAGCAAAGCACAATTCTAGGAAAATGAAAGCTCTGGGGCTAGGAAGATAGCTTAGTGGTAGAGTGCTTGCCTTGCATGCATGAGGCCCTGGGTTCAATTCCTTAGCACCACATAAGCAGAAAAAGCCGGAAGTGGTGCTGTGGCTCAAGTGGTAGAGTGTTAGCCTTGAGCTGAATAGCTGAGGGACAGCAACCCAGGCCCAGAGTTCAGGCCCCATGACCAACAAAAAGAAAATGAAAGCCCTCTGCAACACACCTAGTACTTGTAGGCTAGGCTTTGGTATCATGTAAATGGTGGCAAACAGGTGGCCAAGGTCCCTCCCAGCCTCTTCGGGAGGCTATGTACCCCTCAAGTGGCCTGCCTTGGCAGCAATCAACACAGCTGCACGTGGCACCCAGAGGCCCGAGAACACACCAAGCAGCCGCAAAAGCTCCTGTGGGCAGCAGGGTAGAGGCCACGCCACCTCTGGTTAGTGGCTGGCACTGGGGCCTTCAAGAGGCCAGAGAAACAGGTTCTATTTTCAAGTCCACTCCGGACTTGTGAAGCCTCTGGCTGACACCTGCAGGGTTTTGGCAAGGCAGGCTCCAGGAGAACCAGCCTGGCCCACCAGGCACAGGAGGGGCCTGCCACCTTCCCAGTTTCCTCCTGGACCATCCCGGGATCCACATGGTCACTGCAGCTGCCAGTGTGTCTCACCCATCCTCAGAAAAGCTTTGTCTCCACAGTACTGGGTTTCTCACTCAGGGTCAGGCACTCTATCAGGTAACACGCCCCTCACACAGCATAGAGTCAGCTCCTTGGGGTTATCATCGCCAGGGCCCCTCCTCTCCAGAGACACAACTGGTAGGCCTGGCAGGTCAGCGCTCTGACCCACTACCTGGACTGATGACCCAGAGGCGCGGTGGCCTCTGTGGCTTCATGGAGGCCCCTTGTCTGACGCTGCACTGGGACGGGGAGCCGGTCACAGCCTTCCAGGTGGGGAGCTTGCTCCTGGTCATTGGAATGCCAGCCCTCAGCCCCAACGCAAACCCAGCCACCCTCCTGGCATTGAGCCAGTGTCCCATGGACAGCTGGCCAGGAACCTGTTGTTACTTCAGAATAAAAGTGATAGAGGCTGGGACTGTGGCTCAGTGGTAGAGTGCTCACCTAGCATACATGAAGCCCTGGGTTCGATTCCTCAGTACCACATAAGCAGAAAAAGCCAAAAGTGGTGCTGTGGCTCAAGTGGTAGAGTGCTAGCCTTGAGCAAAAGCTCAGGGACAGCGCCCAGGCCCTGAGTTCAAGTCCCAGGACTGGCCAAAAAAAAAAGAAGAAAAGTGAAAATGAGAAGCCAGCTGCAGGCTGCGAGCCATCAGGGCTTGCAGAATCATTAGGAGAATCATTCCTAAGAGCCAGCTGTGCTCTAGCCTCTCACCCTCCCCACAGGGCCTCAGTCAGCAGGGACTGAGGCAATGACCGTCTGGGTGATGTCAACACCTTCGGTGGCAGGCTGGTCAGGAGACCCAAGCACAGGCTCCAGAGGGGCCAAGAGGCCACAACAGGCCACACTGGCGGGGCTCCACAATCCTGGCAGAAACCCACAGCGCAGGTGCAGCACAGCCTGCCCTGTGGGTGGCCGGCAGAGGCCTGGCCACTAGGCCAAGTGGAGGTAAGTGGAGCACTATGCTGTTGTGGTTTGGCTCCCAGTTTTAGTATGCGTGAGGAGGGAGAGATGGTGAGCCCCAGACTCCATCAGACTAGCATGGCTTCAAGAAGGAAGAAGCCCTGGGAAGAAGGGCATCCTGGCAGAGGGTCAGAGGCCCTGGGAAGGAGGGCATCCCGGCAGGGGCCGGGCCAGGGGTCCCTGTGGGAGGCCCCAGGCCTCACCTGCATAAACGTGTGGCACTCCATTACGAAGTCCCCTTTGGTGATCTGCTTGAACTTGTCGCAGATATCTGGAACACTGTCTGCTTCCAGGATCAGTGCTTGGTGATGCTTAATTAAGGTGAGGGCCACACGGAAGATGATTTTGGAGCCTTCGTTGAACAAGCAGTCCCAGATTCGAAGCACGGTCTGTGGAGACATGGGTCCATGTCACCTGAGAGGCCACCCGCATGCCCTCGGGCCTGAGCATGGTGCCCGCTCACCTCTACGGGCAGCACGTCCACGAACAGGCAGACGAACCAGCGAGACACCACAAGTGTCCACAGCACACCGTGGCCATCCATTAGGGCTGCCACCGCCGGCAGTTTTGTCCTCACCAGCTCGGCGAGGACCTCCTGGTCTGTCTTCAGGCCCAGCATGGCAGGACTGTAATAATCTGTGGTGGCAGGAAGAGGAAGCTGAGAGGACTGGCACCTGGCTCTACTCCTGGCTCTACTCTTACTCCCTCCAGGGCACCAGGCCGCCCCAGGAGAGGAAGGGCCAAACCCCAGAGGGAGGGGCTGGGAAGGAGCCAGAGCCGGAGGCCCAGGTCAGATGCCCCTGTTCAGTAGACGGAAAGCTGAAGGTAGGAAGCAGCCACTGGAGTTGTCTCGGACCCATTCTTAGCAGGGCTGTACACAAGAGCAGAAAGCGACATCATGGGTCCACACGTGAGCCTGTGGGAAGGGTGAGATGCTGACACATACTATGTCAGGAGGGCGCCTCAGAGAGACTGATGCCGTGTGTCTCCACGCACTGGAGGCCTGGGGGTCATGGAGACAGACTGGAAGGGAGGAGGGAGGAGTGCACAGGAGATGCTGGTTTGGGAGAGCTCTGTGATCATGGAGAGGCAGCTGTAACAATGCAACGTTCAATGCTGCTGGCTGCCCAATTACAAACAGCTCTGCTGGTAAACTCTGCTATATGAGTATTTTACCACAATAAAAAGAACATAGAAAGTCAGGCACCAGTACCTCATGCCTGTAATCTTAGCTACTCAGGAGGCTGAGATCTGAAGATCACGGTTCAAAGCCAGCCCAGGCAGGAAAATCCGTGAGACTCATCTCCAAAAAACCACCAGAAAATCATAAGTGGTGCTGTGGCTCAAGTGGTAGAGCACTTGCCTTGAGCAGAAGAGCTGAGGGACAGTGTCCAGGCCCAGAATTCAAGCCCCATGACAAAAAAAAAAAAAAAAAAGGGAGAGAAAAGAAAAAAAAAACACAGAATAGGGGCTGGGAAGGTGGTTTAGTGGTAGAGTGCTTGCCTTGCATGCATGAAGCCCTGGGCTCGATTCCTCAGCACCACATAAGCAGAAAAAGCTAGAAGTGGCACTGTGGCTCAAGTGATAGAGACTTGTCTTGAGCTAAAGAGCTGAGGGACAGCGCCCAGGCCAGAGTTCAAGCCCCATGAAAAAGAAAAGAAAAACATAGACTTTTTAATCTTATTAAGACTTTGTGCTGGGGCTCCAGTAGTAGAGTGCCTGGCCCTGAGTTCAAAACCCCAATACTGCTAGGGAAAAAAGGCAACCACTATAAAATAGATAAATAAACATTTGGGTTTCCTACTAAATAGATGGCTTGTAAATATGGTAGGTTGCTATACATTGTAATGCTTGGGAAGTCATTCAGGTAACTTTTCACCCAAGGAGAGCATATGATACACACATTACACACCAGCCATATGCTCTATTCACATGTAACCACCTGGCAGTGGGGTTGGTGGTGTTGACTGCCGTGGCTGGAAAAGAATCACTGAAAATACTGGCTCAAGTAGAGCAGGGCTTGTCTTATATACATACCCTATTCTGTCTTATACACATGTTATTCTTATATACATCCCCTATTCTGCCTTATATACATATGCTATTTTTTTTTTTTTGGTTGGTCGTGGGACTTGAACTCTGGGCTTGGGCACTGCCCCTGTGCTCTTCAGCTCAAGGCCAGCACTCTACCACTTGAGCCACAGCACCACTTCCGGTTTTCTGGTGGTTTATTGGAGATAAGAGTCTCACAGACTTTCCTGCCCAGGCTGGCTTTGAACCATGATCCTCAGATCTCAGCCTCCTGAGTAGCTAGGATTACAGGCATGAGCCACTGGCGCCCGGCAACTGTCTTACATCTGTCTTACACACATACCCTACCTTGTTTTATTTTTTATTTTTTTTGTCGGTCGTGGGGCTTGAACTCTGGGCCTGGGCGCTGTCCCTCAGCTCTTCAGCTCAAGGCAAGCGCTCTACCACTTGAGCTACAGTGCCACTTCCTACCTTGTTTTATATACATACCTTATCCTGCCTTGTGTACATATCCTATCATGTCACATACATACCCTATTCTGTGTTATATATGTATGCTATTCTGTCATATAAATACCCTATCCTGTCTTAAATACATATGCTATATACATACCCTTTCCTGTCTTATATACATATGCTATTCTGTCTTCTATACATATCCTATTCTGTCATATATATATACATATCCTATTCTGCACCTGCCTCTGAACCTTCAGCATTGGTCTTCCTTCTTCCTCTAGCCCTGGATTCTTTTGTTCTTAGTTTTGAGACAAGGTTTCCTTATGTGGCTCAGGCTGGTTTTCAACTGTGATCCTTCTGCTTGGGCCTCCAGACGGCAGGATAACAGCTGTGGCCTCCACACTGGCTTTCTTCCTTCACTGAGCCAGTCTCAATCCAGCGGGCGAGGTGAGGCCTGAGGCCGCCCCACCCTCTGGGCTGTGTGGAGGGAGGGCTGAGCAGGAGCCGCAAGGGATTTGCAGAGTGGCTCTGTGTGACCTTGGCCCCGGCACAGAGAGGCTTAGAACAGCTTCCAAAAATATTCACTAAACTCACCCTGAACTCCGCAGCTGAGTCAGTCTCCCAGGAGAGGATTGGATTAAACCCACCTCGCCACTCCTGGACACACTCCTTACGGGTGGAAAACCAGGCGAGCAGACGCCCAGCAGCTCCCACTGGCTCGGCCTGGTCCTGGCTATGCCTGTCCACTCAGCTCCAAGGGCCATCTGCCCCCATCAGCTCCTCACCCAGGCTCAGACACAGCCCCACCCGTTCCAGGACAGGTGGAGAAGTGCGCCAGCCCCAAGTTCTGGGGTCATATGGATTACATGACACATGCTCCTAAGGGACAAAGACCAAACCATTTCACCAACGAGCATCCTTAGGACACCTTATCCAGGGTGCTGGGGCCTGCTGTGGGAAGGGAAGAGGGACAAAAAAAAAGGGAAGGAGTGAGGGAGGGAATGAGGGAGGTGGGTCTCCAATGTCCTGTCTGCTGTGCGGGTACCAGGGAGGACACAGGCCTAGAGCCCCAGTCAGGAGACCCAGGCCTGCACTCCCTGCCCAGTCTGGGCACCACTCTGCAGCCTGCACATGGATCCCAGTCAGCACCAGCTCCGAGTTCTCCTGTGGGCAGTTCTCCATGACCTTGGGAGCAGTCCTGAGGTCTCTGCTACCCGATCACCCCTTGGGGTGACCCAAACTCTGGCCAATTCTCTGGGGGCTGCATGTGGGGAGGACATTCCTGTGCCTTCCATGGAACAGGTGATCCCCAGAATTCTCCAGCAACTCGGAGATGTGATACTGCTCCAGCTAGGTAAGGACGAAGGAAGATGTGACTTGTCCACCCCAGGTCCCTCCTCTGCCCTGGGCCACGGGAACCAAAGGTCTCAGAGAACCAGCAAGTGCAGGAAGAGCTCAAGAAACAGAGCCCCTCCACACACACAGCTTCCTCCTTCCAGCAAGAACAGTGTTCAGCTCCAACCCAGGGAGGGCAACAGCGACACCAGGCTCACAGCAGCTCCCTCTGTGACCTCAGCCCCTCCAAGGGCAGGTGCCACACCAGAAGAGGCCACGTCCTCGGGGGTGTATCACAGAGCGTGGCTCTAAGTGTTCCGCTCCCGGGACTCAGCTTAGCTCATGTAATCTGGGTCAGGACAAGGGAATCAAGGCCAACAGGAGGACCAAACCTACCACACTCAGGACCCAGAAGCCCCACTCCCTGGCCCAGCCAGCAGAGTGCAGCCCACACCTGGTAGAGACCAACAGGACAGGGAGCTATGGCCTACTGAATGGGCCTTGCCAGGAGCCGATGGCTCATGCCTGTCATCCTAGCTACTCAGGAGGCTGAGATCTGAGGATCAAGGTTCAAAGCCAGCCTGGACAGGAAAGTCTGTAAAACTCCTATCTCCAGTTAAGTATAAAAAAAAATCTGGACATAGTGCTGTGGCTCAAGTAGTAGAGGATAACCTTGAGCAAAAGGACTCAGGGACAGCATCTAGGCTTTGGGTTCAAGCCAGTTGTGCCTACAACTGGCACAAAAACAAACCCAACAGGACAGGCCTTCATGACCACTGCAGGGCAGGCCTGCTGGCCCCTGCTGGGCTACTTCTGCAACAGCAATTAGCAATGTTCCCTAATTGCAAGGAGAGAAAACTTAAATGCAACTGGTTTTTCAAAGGTCAGGCTCACATGGTCTCCTGGAAGTTCCACAGGCCAAGTGAGAAGCCAATGAAGTTGGTGGGGAGGGAAGAGAGGGCAGGGAGGGCAGGCCCTTTGGGAGGAGGAGCAGCAAGAAGGGAGGGCAGGTGCAGGGGGGAGGCAGGAGGGCCCGGCTGCAGAAGGTGCAGGAATCTGTCCCTAGAGATGCGCCCATCCACACCCTTCCACTTGAAGGCACCAAGTCTCCATTAGAACAATGACCCACGACTGCGGGAGTGGGGGTCAGGCACCACAGAGGTGCAGGCCGAGACTTCAGGACCCCAAGCCTGCTCAGGAGTCACCTGCTCTTCTGTGAACTGGGGCAAGATCATCATGGGAGTAAAGGGAAGTCCTGTCACAGGTGGCGAGATGTGGAGGAGCAGGGTGGGGCAGACCGGCCACACGGGGAGGCCGAGGATGAGAAGGGGGAGAGGCTTCAGGCGGACGATCTGGGCTTGCCCTGGGGTGAACTCAGCCCGGGACTAGTCAGTAGGTTCCATGGCTCCCCATCTCCCGGGCTACGTTCCTCCTCCACGGAAGGGGCAGACACTTCCAGCCGTCGCAGGGACCATGCCACATGGAAGTGGCATCCTAGAGGTCTGACAGCCCTGGCCATGGGAATCTGTGTCCTCAGCACTGGAGAATGCTGTTGTTAGTGCTCTGCTCTGCCTGACCTTGTCAACTGCATCCCTTTGTCATTAGTGCTCTGCTCTACCTGACCTTCTCACCTGCAGCCCTTTGTCAGACTTTTAGGAATTTTTTTGTTTTATTTTTTGGTGGTGCTGGGGCTTGAACTCAGAACTTGGAGTCTTGTGCTTCTTAGGCAGGCACTCTACCTCTTAAACTGTGGTCCCAGGCCCTTAGCTGTTCTGAAGGAAGAGCTTATTTCTCTTTATACCCCAGCTGGCCTGGACTGCAATCTTCCTACTTGACTTTCCCCAGTCCTGTGGATCCAGTCTTCAGCATGGCAGGCCCTCCCTCTGGGTCCCGTGGACTCAGTCCTAAGCACAGCAGTCTCTCCCTCTGGGTCCTGTGGACTGTCTTCAGCGTGGCAGGCTCTCTCTCTGGGCTTCGTGGGTCCCGTGGACTCAGTCTTCAGTGTGGCAGGCTCTCCTCTAGATCCTGTGGACTCAGTCCTCAGTGTGGCAGGCTCTCCCTCTGGGTCCTGTGGACTGTCTTCAGTGTGGTAGGCTCTCTGCTCGGGCCTGTGGACCCAGTCCTCAGCGTGGCAGGCTCTCCTCTGGGTCCCGTGGACTCAGTCCTCAGCACAGCAGGCTCTCCCTCTGGGTCCCGTGGACTCAGTCCTCAGTGTGGCAGGCTCTCCTCTGGGTCCTGTGGACTTAGTCTTCAGCGTGGCAGGCTCTCCTCTGGGTCCCGTGGACTCAGTCCTCAGCACAGCAGGCTCTCCCTCTGGGTCCTGTGGACTGTCTTCAGCGTGGCAGGCTCTCCTCTCGGTCCTGTGGACCCAGTCCTCAGCATGGCAGGCTCTCCTCTGGGTCCCATGGACTCAGTCCTCAGTGTGGCAGGCTCTCCTCTGGGTCCCGTGGACTCAGTCCTCAGCGTGGCAAGCTCTTCCTATGGGTCCAGTGGACTCAGTCTTCAGCATGGCAGGCTCTACCTCTGGGCCCTGTTGGGGCAGCACTGTACTGCTTCAGGCTGAGGCAGAAGACCCTTCCTGCTTGCCGAGCTCTCAGGCTGCTGCCTGCCTCGGTGAACCACATGCCCCAGCTCCTGGGACCTTCCAGCTGCTTCTTCCTTGTGTGGATGTCTATGTCTGTGATCCTCTCCAGGGCCCGAGCCCAGCTTCAGTGAGGATGCACGCAGAGGTATGCAGCCACTCATCAGAGCCTACACCTAGCACCAGTGCCCTGGCCAACAGGTGAACTCCCTGGGGCCTGCCACCTCCCCACTGTGCAACAGGCTTGAAGCGAGTGTGTATCGCTCAGCTGTCTGAGAACTGAGACATGTGCACAGTGTGACTGCAGCCAGGAACACACTGTAGGCCAGGGAGATGGCAGCTGAAGCCATGCAACCCTCTCTGAGTTTTTGTGGGTGTTTTTGTGTTTTTGTTTTCCCAGTCCTGGGGCTTGAACTTAGGGCCTGGGCACTCCTGAGCTGCTTTTGCTCAAGGATAGCACTCTACTACTTGAGCTACACTAGAGCTTAAAGCTTTTTCCTGGTTACTTGGAGATAAGAGTCTCAAAGAGTTTCCTGCCTGGATCGCTTAGAACCTTGATTCTCTTACCTCTGCTTCTGGAGTAGCTAGGACTACAGGCATGAGACATGGGTGCCCCACCTCAGCTGACCATTCAGTAATAGTGAAAACAGGAATACACTGCCCAGCAGAATCATCAACATACCAGGGAGTATTCTTCCAACAAGGGCATCCAAGAGCCAAAAGGATTCCTCCTCATTCTTTGTTATAAGAATCAGATATCCTGCTATGAAATTCATTCCCTGAAACCAAAAAAAGTGAAAGAAAATTTAGTCTTAAACAACTATGACCCTGTAACCGCCTGGCTGCTAACTGCTGGGGTTCCATCCAGTTCTCTTGTTTCTCTCTGAAATTGGCAGGATTCTGGAACACCTTCTGTTAGAACTACAGGCCTGCCATCTAGTTTTGTGTTTAGGCAGCTTACATAAAATGAAGAAAAAATAAATAGTTAAAAGAACCCTCTAGGACTGGGAATGTGGCTCAGTGGTAGAGTGCTTGCCTAGCATGCATGAAGCCCTAGGTTCGATTCCTCAGTACCACATAAGCAGAAAAAACCAGAAGTGGCACTGTGACTCGTGGTAGAGTGCTAGCCTTGAGCAAATGAAGCTCAGGGACAGTGCCCAGGCTCTGAGTTCAAGCCCCAGGACTGGCAAAGAATAAAACACTGAGGGAGGAGAATGACAAGGATCACCCAAGCCCAAACTACATAGACACTTCTGGTCTCCAAAGGAAAAGACTGGGTGCATGGCTCAAGTAGTAGAGTGCTGCCTAGCAAACACTAAGACCAGTGCCAAGACAAAGTCAAAGCTCTCTCCACATCTACTTCTGCTGTAGCGGACAGTCCAGGGCAACTGCAGGAGGGTCACAGTCTGTGCAACCTGATCTTGCTGCATTAGTTCTGAAAGTGGGACCCCCCCCCCCCCCGGAAGACTGCACGGGAGGGGGGCGGCGTTGAGGGCGGGTTCCCTCTTGGAAGGTGGGGGGGAGGGGCGGGGGAGGAGGAAAGGTGGGTTCCCCCATGGAGGATGGCACTGGGGGGGGGGGGGGGCATCGAGGGCAGGTTCCCTCCTGGAGGCCTGCACGGGGAGGGGGGGTGGGAACAGGAGGACTATTGAAGGTGGGTTCCCTCCTGAAGGACTGATTGGGGGTTCGGGAGGACCGTTGAGGGCAGGTTTCCTCCTGGAGGACTGCACCGAGAGCAGGAGGACTGTCCAGCGCAAGTTCCCTCCTGGAAGACTGCATGGCGGGGAGGGGGGAGGGGGGAGAAGGGGGGCGGAGGACTGTCCAGGGCAAGTTCCCTCCTGGAAGACTGCACGGGGGGAGAGGGGGTGTCCAGGGCAGGTTCCCTCCTGCAAGACTGCATGGGGGTGGGGGAGGACAAGTTCCCTCCTGCAAGACTGCATGGCGGGGGGAGGGGGAGGCGGGGAGGACAGTCCAGAGCAGGTTCCCTCCTAGAGGACTACATGGGAAGGGGGTACAGTCCAGGGCAGGTTCCCTCCTGGAGGACTGCATGGGGGGAGGACTGACCAGGGCAGGTTCCCTCCTGGAGGACTACATGGCGGGGGAGGGGGACTGTCCAGGGCGGGGTCCCTGCCAATGCCATTCAGGTCCTGCCACCATTAAATAACCTTAGCCCCAGACCCCCGAGGTGTGTGAGGTGCACAGCTCAGCACAAGGAGAGCCACTGCCCGATCCTGGCATGGCATCAACTTCTGCTCACAACTCCAGGACAGTCAGCACCTGAGGCTGTCCCTCTGTGCTGGGCCATGTCTGCACACTGTGGTATAGGCCTGGACTCAGCTGACAGTACCACACCATCTAGAATAAGCTGACAGTACCCAGCCTTCTGGACTCAGCTGACAGTACCCACACAACCCAGAATCACCGACAGTACCCAGCCTCCTGGACTCAGCTGACAGTACTCATACCACCTAGAATCACTTGACAGTACCCAGCCTCCTGGACTCAGCTGAGAGTACTCATGCCTCCTGGACTCAGCTGACAGTACCCATACCACCTAGAATCACTTGACAGTACCCAGCCTCCTGGACTCAGCTGACAGTACCCATACCACCTAGAATCACTTGACAGTACCCAGCCTCCTGGACTCAGCTGACAGTACCCAGCCTCCTGGACTCAGCTGACAGTACCCATACCACCTAGAATCACCTGATAGTACCTACTCCTCCTGGACTCAGCTGACAGTACCCATACCACCTAGAATCACCTGATAGTACCCACTTCTCCTGGACTCAGCTGAAAGTACCCACACCACCTGGACTCAGCTGACAGTACCCACACCACTTAGAATCACCTGACAGTATCTGGGCTCCTGGACTCAGCTGACAGTACCCACACCACCTAGAATCAGCTGACAGTACCCATGCCTCCGGACTCACCTGACAGTACCCCACACCTTGGTTGTGAAGCCCATAGGCCAGCAGCACATTGTGCAGAGCGCTCTGTAGACAGGGCTCGGCTGTCTTCCGGAACTTCACATTGTCTGGGAAGGTTCGGTTCAGGTCTGCAGGGGAATTCAGCAAAGGTCACCTCAATCCCTGCGCAGCCCCCAAGGGCGGGGATGCTGGTTCTGTCCAGGTCTTGGAAGAGCTTCCACCACCCTGGTTGGACCAGACAGAACAACCCTGGTCACCTGGCTGTGGAGTGCAGCCCAGGCAACAGTGTGCGATGCAGCCACGAAGGCAGACAGCTAAGCCAGGCCCCAACTGTCACCAGAATCAGGATGGCAGAGTGGCCTTCCCAGAGCTGCTTCACTGTCCACTTCCACCCAAGGCAGGCCAGCGTGGCCTGCCTCACCAGGCCCTTGGACAGGGCTCCTAACCTGAGGGCCGGGGAGGGCAGGTAGAAACTGCAGGCTAAACATTCTGAGCCTCCTCTCTTCAGAAATAAACAAAGCTAGATGCCAAGAACTAAACAAACTGACCTTATCAAAGTCTCCCGGCTCTGCCTCTTCCTGCTTACCCAAGGCCCAGACTCCCACCACACCCTCCCTTCCTGAGACCTGCACCTTCCCTTCCAGAGCATGACGTAGAACTGTCTGTGGGATGTCAGCGCCCTTGCTCATTCAGACCAGACAGACCAGACCTGGCCAGGAGTAGCACTTCCTGCTCACATCTTTCTACAGGACAGGAAAAGCCGGGTGGGCTATGGCTGGCAGCGACACTTTCTCTGCATGAAGGGGGTTCTGTGGGCTGAGAAGTCCACCACATGGTCTCTATAAAATAGTTGACAGCCAGTGCCAGCAGCTCACACCTGTAACCCTAACTATTCCAGGAGGGTGAGATCTGAGGATCAGAATTCAAAGCCAGTCTGGCAAGTTTTCAATTAATCACCAAAATCCTGAACTGTAGCTGTGGCTCAAGTGATAAGCACTAGCCTTGAGCAGAAGGGGCAGCACCCAGACCCTGGGTTCAATCCCCAGGACTGCCATAAAAAAATTTTTTTTTAAAATAAAAGCTTATCCACACTAAACAGAGCTAGCCTGTAACCCAACCTTCCTGCGCAGCGCACACACCCAGAGGGACCAAAACAGGAATGGCAAGAGACAGCTCCAGTCTCGCTGGTACATGGGCAGGTAAATGGGTCCACACATGGGGCAGCGTGCAGCCTCGTGAAGTAGGGAAAGACCTCCGTGGCTTGGAAGAGCCCTGTGATGGGCTGTTTCAGTTCTGACTGTCCCCCAGGTGGCCAGAAATCATGCCTACATCGCAGACCTGAGAGGGGCCCAGGAGCCCACCTGTCCTGATGGCCTCTTCCAGGCTGGAATTTCTCTCTCCCTGGAGCAGCTGGTGATAGTAGCCGGGGTGCTGGTCCATCTGAGCCTGGGCTCCACTTACAGCCATCCAGACTCGGGCCCTGTGCTCCAGTGGGATCCCCTTCCGGACATAGCGCTTCACTGAAACAAGAGGACCGCAGTGAGCTCAGAACCCAGATGGCCAGGGAACCCTCATATCAGACTCCAACCCAGCTATTGACCTTCCTAAGTCATGATGGAAAGGATCTAAAACCTTGTGTCTTCACCAAAACTGATGCATACTCTAAAGAGGCTCCAAAAAGCAAGTCAGGCCAGATGCTTGGCTTCACCAGCCAGCCACCATGAGGGGTGGGCAGGGGCTGGAGAGCTGGTCTATATCCTAACGGGTGGCCTGGAAGCAGGAAGGCCCAGCGGCCCTGCGAGCTACATGCCAGAAGGTAAGGCCTGGTAGACGGGCTCTCCTCAGGCCCTGCTCAGGTACAGTATGGACAGCAGAGCCAGCCTGGGTGAGGTATGGTGGCAGACCATGTGTGGCATAGGCGAGGAACTGGCTTCCATCCCCAGCACTCAAAAGGAGACAACAAAATCAAAACAGCAAGCAGAAATGCTTGTGGACATGGGGAAAGGGCCAGCAGATGTGGACCACGTGTCCAGGCACACCTCTACCACGTGGGTCCCCCCAACTCTGTACCCTCTCTAGCGCAGCCAGCCCTGGTACTCCTGCCTTCGGAGGCAGCTCCCCAGCACACTGCGCCTGAGCCCTCTGTGCCTGCTGGAGTGGCCCTGCCCTTCCGCCCCCTGGGCCAGCAGGCAAGTTGCTCATTCACTCATTCAATAACACGAAGACCCTGCCAGCCAAGCCAGGGCTCCAGGTAGGGACTTGGCCGTGAAGAGGACATTCCCCTCGGACAGGAAGGGGTCTCTGCTTCTTTCTAGAAGGCAAAAGAAAAGACTAACAGGTTGGGGCTGCTTTGAGAAAGGCGGTGGGAAGGGGAAGCCCCGTGTGGGCACCTGGTGAGGGTCTGGGGAGTCGGGGCGAGCCCAGGGGCCAGTGGGAAGGGAGAGTTTGCCTCAAGAGTGGACTCGAGGCCCGGGTCAGGTGAGCCCAGGATATGCGTGACGCTGGCGTGGAAGGAGCAGGCCCGGGAGACTCCGAGGAGAAGGGTTGGGCTGGCAGGCTAAGCGCAGGCTAGGCTTCAAGCCTGCCCTCCCCACCACCTTCTCCTGGAAGGCCAAGGCACCACGGACTTTGCCCAGCCAGAGGAAGAGGGTGCGGCCCCAGATGGGCCGTGGGCGGTGCCGGGATGGGCCCAGCAGGGATGTTCCGGCAGGGATGGCCCCGGATGGGCCCCGCAGGGACGGGCGGCTGGACCTGGTCCTGGGGGAGTGGGGGGGAGGAGGAGGCAAGGCCGTGGCGGCAGGGTCCTGCCCCGCAGGGTCTCATGCCGCAGGCCCTCACGTTTTCGCAGGGTCGCGCCCCGCAGGCTCCACGCCACTCACCCGTCCGGCTCCTCCGCACGCCGCCGCTCCCCCGCAGGAGCCGGGCCCAGCGGCCGGCCCGGTGCGCCAGGACGCCCAGGTAGGCGGAGGAGAAAGCCTCATACGCCGCGTAGTCGAAGTCCGCCGGCCGCTCGAACCCGTACACATCCACCCTGCGGCGGGAAACCTGCTCCAGCCCGCCCCGCATCGCCCCAAGCGGCCCCGCGGCCCCCACGCGCCACCCTCCGCGCCCCCCTAGCCCCCGCGTCCGCACCTTTCCCCCCTCTTCTTTCCCTCCTCTCCTCCCCGGGACACGCGGCGCAGGCCTCGCTGCGCTCCGCACCCACCTGGGCACCGGGTCCCGCGCCGCCGGCGCACGCTCCGCGGACTCCATGCGGGGAGGTGCTGCGGCCCCGGACCGCACCTCCGAGCCGCGGGCAAGGCGGGACCCTGGGATGCCGGGAGTCCCGGGCGCGCGACTCCTTCCGGCGGGGGGCGGGGCCTGCCGGCTGGGAGGGGGCGGGGCCGATGTGGTGGGCGGGGCCTCACAGGTGGAGTTGTGGGCGGGCCCGGCGAGGAGGTGGAGTGGGCGGGGACGAGCGGATGATAGTGGGCGTGGTCTAGCGGAGGGAGTGGGCGGGGCAGGACTCTGGCGGGCGGGGCCGGGCGGGGGGCGGGGCCGGGGGCCGGGGAGGGGTGGCATGGCCCGGGACGCACGCGGGTGGGGACGAGGCACACCCAGAGTCCGGGTGCGGCGGGGTCGGCGGGGGACTGTCCTGGGCTCGGTGCCGCTGCCCCCGCGGCCCCGCTCAGCGAGGGCGTTGCGTTGGTTGTTTGTGTTTTCCTGACCTTCCTCAGTTTCCCGTCCCCAGTTTGGAAATCGGACTCAAGCACGTCGTACACAAACTCCGGGGACCCAGGACGTGGAGCCGGCGGGGGCGGGGCTCGGCCTCGGTGCCCTCCGTGTAGGCGGGGCCTGGGGTCCCCCCTCCGTGCGGCCAGACCCGGGGTAGCCGGCCCCCGCGACTCCGCAAACAGAAGCTCCCGTTCTCCCCACAGGTGCTGTGCGGTATCCGCGCTCTGCAACCCGGTCTCCGTCTCCACCGCAAAGGCGCGGCGCCTCCTGTGACCCCCTGACCTCTCGCGTGCCTCCCGGCCTCCCGTGCCCTCCCGGCCTCCCAGGCCCCCCCTGACCTCCCGCGTGCCTCCCGGCCTCCCGGGCCCTCCCGGCCTCCCAGGCCCCCCCTGACCTCCCGCGTGCCCCCCGGCCTCCCGGGCCCTCCCGGCCTCCTCCCACCCCCGGGCCCACGTCCACCTCACCTATCCGAGACCTTCCAAACTGGAAGGTTTTGGGGTGCGAGAAGGAGCTTCTCTCCGGCCTCAGCCCCGCCCAGGACGGGTCTTTAGACGGGGCCGCCGCGGGGTCCCGGCCAAACCCCAGCCCCGGTCCGCCAGGGAGGCGCTGAGCGTGCGGCAGGGACACGGCCTCTCCCGTGGACGCTCACGGTCCTCCGAGCTCCCCTTCCAGAGATTCGCGGGGGGCCTGGAACGGAGCCTGCGCCTGGATCCGCACCCCGACCGGACCCGGACGCCACTACCCGACCCGGACACGGACCCGCTTGTCCCGACCTGAACCCGGATCCCCGCTGCTGCGGCCCCCGCCCCCCCTCCCCCAGCCCCAGCTCCTGCGCCCTCCAGCTCTAGCTACCCGGCCGCCCAGGTTCCTAGGTACAGCCCGTCCCAGGGGCTTCTGGTTTTGGACGTTGCCACCTGCCACGGCCCGTGCCCCCGAGGGCCCAACACTCCCCGAGCTCCAGCCTCACGTGGTTTTTCCCTGGCAGACGCAGGCATCCCCCCCTCGGGGGCAGTTGCTGTCCGCGCGGGGGCTCTGGCTGCCTTCCTCTTCTTCCTGGGATTCCTGCCTTCTACTGGGGTATTCCTGCCTTCTACTGGGGTGTGGGGTGGGCATCCCCAGCCTGAGAGCCGAGGAAGGCCTGGGCCTCTAATGTTGGAGCGGGATGTGGTCCCAGGTGCTGAGAGTTAGGTGAGCGTGGCTGCCCTCCAGGACACATGAAGAAGAAAGATAGGTGCTGCCTGGCGGAGTGTGGACAGCCAGCGCTGAGCTAGGGGCTCCCTCCTTTCCGCAATGCCCACTGAGGGCAGGAAATGGCTGTGCCCCTCAAGTCCCTGAGCCAAGTGCCATGACCGCAAGGACCCCCATGAGTGGCCAGCCAGGTTATCTACCGCCCTCCTTCCCTCCCCCAGCCTCAGGCCTCCCCCCTTTCCCCTGCAGTGAGGAGGGCCAGATCCCAGGTAGAAGAGGTGCGATGCAAAAATCACCACAGCACAGAGGGTCAGATGAGCTTCTGGAGTGAGCCAGTTCTGGGGACATCCACTCAGTCTGAAAATCCAGGCCAGCACCCAAGACAGTCAGGGCTGGAGATGAGTAGACAGACAGGACTGACGGTGAAAGGCTGAAGACGGCAACAGCTGGCCTTCTTGGTCACTGGCCGGTCCCAACCACCCAGGTGGCCAGCCACAAAGAGGTCCCTCTGCCACCCTCACACCTGACAGCATGCTTTGCGGCTTCCAACCCTGGCTGAGCCTGGAGCCCCTCGAGCCCCTCCCTGTACTGGCCATTACAGAGTACCAGAGACCACATCTTCCCTACAGGAAATCAACCCTGAAAGACAACAGGGAACCTGGAGGTCCTCCTTAGCCAGCGCTGTGAAAGCATCTGACACAGTCTTCAGCAAGGGGACAGAGAGGGAGGGGCAACCACCAAGAACTAAGAAGAACCTACGGGCCCAGCTTGCAGCATGTGGATGACCAGGGACAGCCATAGCGGGCTGGACATCCAGCTGGCTGAGGAGCGAACGCTGTGGGTGTGCAAAGGGTACCTCACCAATGCCTTATTTGATAGGTGTGCGCATCATTACTTTGTTCCTGGACACTGACACTACTGAGACTAGAGAAGAGGAGCAAATAAAGCACACGTGTTCCACTATCCCCTGCACCACCACCCCCAGCACCACTGAGACTGGCCACGGCAGCTGGAGAGTCAGCTCCAGCTGCTCCGGCCCCAGCTCTGCCTCATGAAGTATGCACTGGTGTCCTCGCTAATCCCTGATGGGGTTCTCCTGAACTTTGCCCCCAATCTGAGCAGGGCTTCTGTGGGGAATAGGTTCTGTGATGAACAGACAGCCCATCCTCCAGCTTTAGCCCACAGACTCCTTGTGTTGTCCTAGGCCCACGCTGGACTGCCATGGACAGGAATACCCTTTCTCTCTTGCTGTCCTCCTTATGAACTTGCTGGCCCAGACATTCAGAGGTCTCCCAGGTCTTAAGGCTCTTTAAACTTTGTAATTTGTTACTCCAGCAATCACGTTCAATCCTGTTTCTATGTGCTTAGCAGATTAAAAAAAAAGAATCTAACATTTGGAATTGGCTTTGAAAATACTATAACAAGGAGAAAAACATGAAGGGAGAGAAGGGAAAGGCACAATGATAAAAGAAAAAAGAAAAAAGTCTCTGCAGATGATGAAGGCCCTGGGGTTCTGCCATCTGTCCGGATGGTGTCCTGGAGCTGACTGCCTCTCCCTCCCCTGCCAGGCAGGGCCTGAGGGCTTGGGGTCCTCACAGAGGCTACCTTCCTAATCTCATGACTGCACCAAGACTCCAGCTGGGCCAGTTGCATCATGGCAGTGACATTACCAAGGAGTAGAGGGGAGGAGGCCTCCAGAACCCCATACGCATCTCCAGAGCCCAGCTGGTTCCCAAGGCCCAAGCAGGGCCTGTGGCAACAATGAATGGACATGGACGGGCTCAGCGCCATCTGGGGGACTCCTCACCCCAGGCACCTCAGGGTGCCAGCTCAGCACAAGTAAGCAGCTCCTCACTCCTCCACAGGAAGAAGAAAGGATGGGAAAATGCGGCAGGTCCATAACTGCTGTCCAGCAGCACGCATGGCTTCGTTCCTGTCAGAGCTGCAAGCTGGGCCCTCCACACATCTTTTAAAGAATGGACTTTGGGGGCTGGGAAGGTAGCTCGGTAGTAGAGTGCATGCATGAGGCCCTGGGTTTGATTCCTCAGCACCACATAAGCAGAAAAAAACTGGAAGTGGTGCTGTGGCTCAAATGGTAGAGCACTAGCCTTGAGCTGAAGAACTGAGGACAGCACTCAAGCCCAGAGTTCAGGCCCCATGACTGAAAAAAAGCCTCATTAAAAATTAATTTACAAGGGCTGGGAAGGTGGATCGTGGTAGAGTGCTTGCCTTGCATGCATGAGACCCTTGGTTTGATTCCTCAGCACCACATAAGCAGAAAAAGCCAGAAATGGCTCTATGGTTCAAGTAGTAGAGCACTAGTCTTGAGCTGAAGAGCTGAGAGAGAGTGCCCAGGCCCAGAGTTCAGGCCCCATGACCAACAACAACAACAAAAAAGAATGGACTTTGTCTTCCGCTGAATAGCCTTGGTGGCAAATACGTGTCATAACACAGGGAAGAGCCCAGGAGAGCCACTCGGCCCAGTGCAGGTCCCTGAGAAATGCGAGCACCATAACGTGGAGCAGCGCTCCAACGAGCCAACCTGAGGCTGGTTCTATAGCCAGACAAGGGCAGGAAAAAACAGACACAGAACACAGTACTTTCCTTGTGGCAGTGCTGGGAGACAGGACAGCTGGTCACCTTTCCCACATGTGGCTTAAAGCTGCGAATGTCCTCAGTCCCGTCTGGTGGGATGACACGGCTCTTACCTCTGGGCCAGGCTTCTTAAGGTCAGATAAAAGTTCAGTTTGATAGCCAGGTGCTGGTGGCTTATGCCTGTAATCCTAGCTACTCAGGAGGCTGAGATCTGAAGATCATGGTTCAAAGCCAGCCCAGGCAGGAAAGTCAGTGAGACTCTTATCTCCAATAAGCCACTAGAAAACCAGAAGTGGTGCTATGGCTCAAGTGGTAGAATGCTCACCTTGAGCTGACAGCGCCCAAGCCCAGAGTTCAAACCCCACCACCACCAACAACAAAAAAGTTCAGTTTTGGTTGAGTGAGTGCTTGCATTCAGCTTTCAGCCTGGCCCATGAAGGTTCCAGCAGCTTTTGCTTGCTCCTCCATTTCCCCTTGGCTTTCCACTTCTCCAATCAGCATGGTACAGTTCACCTGAGGAGGCCAGGCTGATGGCACCAACGCTCCTGCTGTTCCTGTCAGCGGAGGGAAGAAGACAGGGCCTGGGTGACAAACACCCCACCTAGGTAGGGGCTCCTGCCCGCTGGGTCACCGAACCTCTTGTCTCGTACCCAAGACATCCCCTAGGATGGAGACTTGAGATGGAAAGTCCCTCTGGGTCCTTCAGGGCTGACCTTACATAAAACAGCCTCCTGTAATTTTTATTTAACATGAGCCAACACAACTCTGTCTGTTTTCGTGAGTGGAGTTGGGATGAGAGCCTCAGCACCC